ACGCACCAAACGCACTTGCAATTTTTTTTGGAAGAATCTCATTCAGTGCAGTATCAGGAATTTTATTTCATGAAATCAGGGTCATCATATTTCCTTTAACTTTAAATTCCCTTTGAAAAACATGAGAGACTTATTGTTGGGGCTGAAAATTTGATAGAATGTATTGTCATTGGCAATGAGTCAATGTTCCAAATTTTAGCTCGATGGGTTGACGGGAAGTGGGTCAATTAGCCATCAAAAGATTTTGGCAGCCAGCCACAAACAAAAGCAAAGTTAATATAAAAGATTTAAAAAAGGATATTTCATGAATCTTTTGTCTTTCACTGTCCCATTGTGGTAAATAAAGGAGAACTCCTCTGCTTTCAAATACCGTATATGTTATGCGTGTTGCCCAATTTGAAGTATCTAGATTTAAATGTCATATTCTTTTTTTATTAATTTATTTAATTATATCTAGTGTCCGATATTTCTTTTTAAACCAGTGATGGGTTTTAAGTTTAGATATTTCATTAACCGTATCTAATAAAGCAAACTGAGTCCACCCGATTATATCAAATCACTAACACTGTCAACTTAGGTGTCAAATAAAAAATTAAGTCGTTTCAATCGAATTAGAGCAGTCCAACCACAGACTACTACATAAATTATTTGCCTACTATGAAATGAGTCACAACTGCTAAGAAAAAGTCCTTCCACTTTTGTAGGTAGGGGGCTATTGAAAAAGCAGTCCACCCAAGGCAGCACTTCTTTCATTATATGGAGGGGTGGCGTTTTCGGCCCACAGAAGAGATGTCTTTTTAATTTTGTCGCGCGCTATATAAGACCACTTATTATTATTATTATTATTATTATTATTAGTGGGTGGCAAAAATCTCGGCCTAACCAGGGCGGCACTAACCCGTGCTAAGCCAATGAGACAATCTCCTTCATCTCTAGCTGTTACTCTCCTTCGGCATCCTTCCGTCTCGTGAGACGATGGTGCATCACCGTTGGGTTGGGTTGCATTTTCTCGAGTGGCTGTGCAGTCCTATCCTTGAGTGACAGTCTTTACCACAATTTTTACAAACGAGTTCCGTGCTTCTAAATGTTTTGGCCTTTCTCCTAGCTCTTCTGTCTGCAGCCTCTTCCATTCTTCGCTCCTCGGCTACCATGACGCCCTATTTGACAACTGTGCGCCACGTAGATCGGTCTTCTGCCTTACACTCCCAGTCACTTGTATGTATTTTGGCTGCTTTCATGTCCCTTTGACAGACATCTTTAAATCGCAGACGTGGGCGACCTGTTTTCCTCTTTCCCGAAGCAAGTTCACCATATAGGAGGTCTTTCGGAATGCGGAATTCTTTTAACATGACCTAGCCATCTCAGGCGTCTTTCACTAAGGATTGTGAACATGCTTTGGGTATTCGCACGCATTAGGACCTCACTATTAGTCACTTTTTCTTGCCATTTAATACCAAGGATGCGACGCAGGCATCTCATATGGAAGCTATTAAGCTTGCGCTCTTGGGATGTATAGGTGGTCCATGTCTCGCTCCCGTATAGTAGTGTACTGATGACACTAGCTCGATAGACGCACAGTTTGGTTTTCTCCGTTAGCTTGGTGTTTTGCCAGACCCGTTTATTTAGTTTAGCCATTGTGGCAGCTGCCTTGCCGATTCTGCTGTTAATTTCTTCTTCAATGGACAGTGTATTGGAGACCTTGGACCCCAAGTAGGTGAAGCTGTCCACAACCTTCAAGTTTTCATTATCAATTTTTATGTTAGGTGGAGGTCGAGTGTCTTGGGCCATGATGTTTGTCTTTTTCAAACTGATTTGCAGACCAAATTCTTTACAGGCATTGGAGAAGCTTGACATGAGTTGTTGCAAACCAGTTTCTGTGTGTGCTGTTAGTGCCGCATCATCCACAAATAGCTGTTACTTTATGGTAAGTCAAAATCATGTGCACCAGCCATATCTGGTTTACACCTTATAACAAAATCCCTGGTCCGCTCATAACAAGGACACATGACATGTCAACCAAAGCATGGGCAAAGGTCGATCTCTGATTTTGGTGGAATTCTCTACATAGCTGAGTTTCATACTTTGCATCTTTTGCCTGGGCGCTGCTTCCCTGGTCAGCTGCTTACCAGGGCAAAGTCATTCCCTGATACACTGACCTAATGGAGAATCAGTCAGCATAGTGGGAGTAACGTGGGAACCCACAAACAACTGAAGAGCCAACTGGTCGACCGAAACAACCAATTTCCACATAGCTTCAAGGGACCATCCATATAATCTGAACACATTAAGGGGGAGGGGTACAATGCAGAGTTTCAGAGTCAGTATATTACAACCATCGGCACAAGATTTCAATTAATACACAAAGTTGGAAATCCATTAGAGAAGAGAAGAAACACTGCAGGAATAATATAAAACCTTTTTTTTTTATATTAATGTTGTTCCTGCTAGTACAAAAATTTATGCGAGTCAGGGGGGGGGGGNGGGGGGGGGGGAGAGGGTTGAGGTTACACCATCAGTTAATATTTGTACTTCATAGGATGACCCATTTGTAAGCTGACGCCTCTGAATCTGACAATATTTTTACCTTACTTTAACAGTATGAATTTTGCTTGTGGTCTCAGACTGGGAAAAAGTGAAAAAATCTGGTCACACTTCGGCTTAATAGACAATATAATCAGAATCATCAATCAACTGATACACAAATTTTATATTAAAAGTTCCTTTAAAACAAACAAAAATACTTGACAGACTAATTGGAAAACAATAAATACATAGGAAGTTTGCCATTGAAATTCAAGTGTTTTAATTTGTAATGGCATTAATTTAATGTAAATTTAATGTAGTTCTATCAAAGGTAAATAGGAAGTTTTTAATTTATTTACAAAAATTAATGAGTTGCACTAATAATATCAATTGTATACTTCATCACAGATACTTAAGATCAGCCCGTTTGGGACAAATTCTTTCTCTCAGGGTAAGGACTGAAAGATATAAAAATTCTTTTGTTCCCCAATCTGTACGAATATATCAGTCTGCTCCCCAGAAGTCACAAATCTAAATGAGAACTAATAAGTCCCTGTTATGACTAATGGAGTGCAATGAATGACTGTTGTTATGTAGATGACGTGTTTACATCATCTTTCCCCGTGAATGAACTCTAACTGACCCCAAGCTCGGAACCGCATTTAGGATGTGGCTAATTAAAAATTGTCTTTCTTGACCTTGTTTACAACTAAATAAAATCTATAGTTTGTATTATTAGAATTCAGTAGAATAACCTAGACAAATCAGGAAAACAATGTGTAAGCCTGTTAGAGTGTGCGTGTGTAGATCCTCTTTTTCATCAGTATACCTTTTTTTACAACATTTTATCTTCTTCAACATTGTACAGGTATAAGCAAATCAGGCAATCCTCCGAAGTCCGGTCCCAAATTATTTCCACTGATTACTACTTACTTAAAAGTCTTAGGCATCATTTATTTTTAAAATTCATGTTTGCGGTATTGGACGATGTTAGATGGAGGTTGTTGGTCGTCCAAATGCACAAACACTCGAGCGCATTATCACTAATCATGTGTTACCAGGGACTACAATCATCACAGACGCTGGGCGAGGATATCAAAATGTCGGTCAGCTCAAAAACAGGATTTTTGCTCACGCTATCACTGTGCACACACGTGAATTTGTTGATCCAGTAGACCAGGACATTCACACATAAACTATTGAAGGACTTTGGATGCAAGCGAAACGTAAACTCCACTATCAGAATGGTACTAGTCGCGGTCTGTTTGCTAGCTACTTGGGGGGCATTTCAGTGGCGCAACAGTCACAAGCAGAACATTTTCGGCTGCTATTTGCAAATGCTATGCGCCAATTACAATATTTAGTATTTATTAACTGGTTTGTAAAGTGACAGTTATTTGCAAAAGCTATGACTGACATTTCTGCTGTTTTCTAACAATACACAGTGTGAATTGCAATTTTTTTCCAACATATTAATTTGGAATCGGACTTTGGAGGATTACCAACAAATCATTATACTCTAAGTCAATAGCTTTAATTTATTTCTTTTTGATTTTGTAATTTATTAACATAATTAATAAAATTTATTAATCGTAATTAGCTCTTGTTTGGGTATCGTTTTCTTTGTTATTGTATTTAATTTATGGTATCTTCTTTTGTTGTGTACTGTTTTAGAACGAGCCATGACTTAAATAAAATAAGACATTAATTTCTCCATATTGATAACAGTATGTTATGTAACTGGGTTTTTTTACTAGTGAAATAATTTAATGTAGATGTCTTGTGTTTAAATTGTTTTAGTTGAAAAATGTGGACTTACTTAAAATATCTAAATCTATTTATTTATGTACTGTACTGAACTGTAAACTGTATAGTCATAGTATAATATAGTAGTATATCAATTTACAAAAAATGACAGACTATATAAAAAATTAAATATATAAATTATAAATATAAATGAAAATGCAGTTCAGCACAGTTGAATTGAGTCAATTGAATTATGAATAATAAAATATTGTCTTGATTTGAAATACTCTTGAGTCTCTTGACCCTTGGGTTGGAAAAACAATTGGTAATTACTTAGGCTTAATGTTCAGATAATAAATACTAATTTATTTGTAATACCTTTTCATGAAAAATTGTCTCCATTTTGTTTTCTTCCCCTGAAATATTGTATAGGCCTATAATTATTTTTTAACTGCTTGTAGCTGAGTTGGTACTCTTAAACTACTTGTTGAAGTCAACATGTATACTAAGTGTCGGAAAGAAACAATTTATACTAGTTGTAGTATTTCCTATTAAATTTTATTTCTAACAATATATTCAAATGATAATTTGGGCGACCTCTTCTTTTTCTATAACATTAAGCTTTTTTTCTTGAATATTAAATTATTTTATAATTTTTAAACTTTATTTTGTGATATGTTAACAAATAAATTAATTAATTTTGTAAAAATATTATGAACGCTAATATTTCAGCTAAAGTCCGACAATTGGAGTATCCTATCTTGTTTTCTTAAACTAAAGCAAAAAAAATGGACGTTAAGGTAAAACGTCAACATAACAGTTCGCAGTAGTTTGCTACGTAAAAGAAGATTCATCTTAAGCATGGCGACCTATAATAGGATGCCTGATCTGATAAGCAGTAGCGTCAACATAGAGGGTTTGTAATAATTATATCTATAATTACATTAAATCTATTTTTTAAATTTAAACTCAGTATCAGTAACTCGGGTCCGTAATTAACTACTGACAGACTACTGAACTGACTTACTAACTTAAATAATAAAATATCATATATTATAATCATTCATTCATTAATTACTTGTATTTCTATAATTCTGATCTGATAATATCTATCCGCCATGTCCAAAATCCATAACTGAATAAGTGGCATTGCCAATTCATAACAAAAGAAAATTAGAATTAGACACCCTCTTCATCCCACATTACTAAAATTACAAAGTAAAGTAAAGTGATTTTTCTTCTTTTGACATGTAAACTTACATAAATATTCACTTAGCCCTTCTCACCCTGATTTATGATAATTTATTTCTTGTAGCTGCCTCCAGGTTGCTCTAGAGCAGGGGTCACCAAACTAAGGCTCGTGGGCCGTATCTGGCCCGTGACGTCAGTTCATCAGACCTGCCGTTGGTTCTTGAATTTGCTTGATAAAACATATGACATATTCATATGGAAAAAGAGACTTTGTGATGCAATGTAAAAATTATGGTTAGAATACTAGGAGATCTTCACATGTGCGGAGACCTCCTGGCTGCTATGCGCCTTAAATTTACCATTTTAAATTATTGTATCTAGATTTTATTATTTATTGTAATGTTAGCTTATTTCGCGACATCCCAAGTCCTTCCCCCGCCTATGTTTTGATGTTACCATAGTTTCCATTGGATCACACACAAACACGCATCTTCCCGCTCCCAGATGCTCCAGAAATATTTACTTCTTTTTGCCTGTCATCCATTTTATAGGCATGTAACAAGGATTTCTTTGCTTGGCAGTGTTATGTAGTGAACTATAAGTGTGAATAAAAGCAATAAAGTAACAAACATAGCATAAAAATGCCATAGAAGCCTTGTGTTATTACGAAAATATTATCCCCTGCTCAGAAAAATTTCCTGGTCAAGGTGTTAATTAAGCTGGTCACTAGGCCAGTGTTTTTCAACCCTTCTGCTGGAGCGGATCCTTACGCAAATGTTACGTCTGTCCTACTTAATATAATAAACCAGATGGGCAGAAATATTGCCTTTAGGCAATTTTGGTCTGTTTTGGTGGAACCCCTGGCTGCCACTTGCGGAACCCTTGTTGAAAAACACTGCTATTGGCTGTTTATTTAGGCCAGCCCAATTTTATATTTTGCAAACCTTATTATGTGATATATTCAATTACCAAAGGTTACCTATAAACTTTATATATTCCTTTATATGTGAAAGAGAAGCACAAAGAAAGAAAACTTGTTGAATTTTAACGCTGCTTACCTGATGTTGAGTTTCCGAAACTGAAGTAATTTGCCGCTGGCATGGCATCAGTGTTTGGAACAACGTATTTCTGTTATCAAACGTTTTCAACAATGATGTATGTGAAGTCAACACATCGAACTAGATTGATGAACATTTGAAAGCAATTCTCTAGATTGGATGCAGAAATTCCAAACAGTCACATTGATGCTATCTTGAAAGCCAGACGTTTCACAAATCTCACTAAACTTTTTTGCTGCTTAGTTTATGAGATTTGGATATGTGTGCACTAGGTCTGATGTAACTATCTTTTTGCTTACATCGCCTTCTTTGATAACTTTTTGAGTATATAAATATCTTGGGTGTCTTTGTTTTTTGTGAGTTGGCATGCCACTCACCCATGATTAAAATAGAATACTTAACTTAGTTGTTCATCTTTTTTCGCTCTGGCATGTAAGTATTGGACAGAAATGATTATGTGACCTGCGCTAACAATTTTGTCCATTATCCGGCCCACTGTGAAAAAGTTTGGCGACCCCTTCTCTATAGTCTAGACTCTTGACTTTCTCATTTATTGCTTTCTTATCATCTTCTGTTTCTTTTATGGGGTGGCAGCTCCATAATCAAAGCAAGTACCATACAATTTTTAAGGCACTTTGAAAACCATTACGATTGGTATATAATTTAAACAACTTTCACTATACATTACACTGTTTTATCTGTGCTTTAATGTGTAGAATTTAAAATGGTTTAAGGCTTTTTGTGCTTTTTTCAATAATTAAAGTATTATCACTGTTGCTTACCACTAAAAAGTTTCAGTGCATTTGTTATATCTGTATTTGAAAATTTTTTATGGGGATTATCAAAGTCTATTTGAGAGTAATGTTTACTAATATTTGTTTTTGTTTTAGTTTTTAAAATGTAGAAGTTGATAAATAATAGACACTTCATATATAATAAGGGTAGGCCTTGAGGAAATCTATTTTATCTTTAAAAATCTTATCACTTATGCAATGACAGCATTCATCTATTGTTATTTTTTTTAAACCTGCAGATGATGACAGAGGCAAGGCTTATACATCAGTAAGTTTTTTTATGAAAGTAAAGGCAAAATGAAGTTTCTTTTGTAATTTTTGTGCGGCTTGCTTGAGCCTGGCAAAATGCTCCCTACTTTGCTAAAAGTACATGTTTCTAAGCAAATAAATAAAAAAAATTGTTTAAACACGTCAACTGCAGAGCAAGTGCAGGTTCAGTGAAAATGCTTAAAATGACATCTAACGGATGTAAAAATAAGTGTCCGAAATGGTCTCTTACAATTTGAAATTGCCGAAATCTCAATATTACCCACATTAAATGTGTTTTAAATATTTTAATACTTTTGTTCCATTATATAGGGTACCATATATCCTTTCACTTCCTCTCATCACCAAACTGGATTGGGAGTTTTAGTCAAGGAAACAGCAAAACTATTACAATTACGTGAGGTAATTAAATATCTGAAGATATTTTGAGTTGCTATTTACTTTGTTTTCAACAGTCAATGAAATGTACTTTTTACTGGGCATTAAATAAATCTGTTTAACAGAAAACTTAGATGAAAAGATTCCATTGTTGCTGATAAAGTCCCTTATTTGAAACAATTCAAACATAATCTCATTCCAGTTGTAACTTACCAATTTCTATTTTAAGTTTCTTGGTTCTTAAGTATTGTCAAGTTGTAATTGTTAGAACAATTATCATTCTTAGGTCTATTATGTAATGCACAATGTCATATGCTCTTTAAGTGGTAGGTCCTAAGTACATTTAATACAAGTCTTATCATCAACTACCTAGAGCCATTCAAAATACTCCAAATATTCCAACATCCCTGGATACAACTCCAATGATTTTGTCTCTATATGAAGCCATGTCAACTTTATAGAAACTTAGGAATCTTTATTTTCATCAAAGATAAAATTAGATTTATTGTATATTGTAGACAAAAGGGAAGAAACATTCTGTCTATATAGTCAGACTTAGGGCATTGACTTCAAATTGTGTTCTTTCACAGGCTAAAAAAATCATCTACTTCCTTGCATTTGCTGCTCTTTCTACGGTCGTGCTTCTATACTGGTGTCATACTACAAATAGCATGGGTAAATATTCATGTCTTTAATGAGAATTCATGTATTTAAATCTGTGTATGAAGTTTACATTAGTGAGGTGTGCAAATTTGAAAATATTAGATTAATTTTTAAAAATTAATTATAAAATTGTTAATCCTTACTCTAATTTTATAATATAATCAGATCAGTTTTGCTGTGTGGAGAGAACATTCTAAATTAGTTGAATTCTAAACTTTGAGGTTTATTTGAAAGCAGTGTTTGCGTTAGTCATTCTATTTTATAATAGTCATTTGATTGCTGACTCAAAATGACCTTGTAAAGTCTCACTACCAATAAATGATATATATACTTTGATATATTCAAATAAAAATTTCCATTTACCACTTGCTTTAATGATTAATGTGTATGTTTGTTGTCAATTTTCAGCCCTAACAGCATTTAGTTTCCTTTTGATATTTGATATTCTGAGGTAAGTTAACAATATTAATCATTTTTCTTGTATCAAAAATATTGTTATTCATGTTATTTGTGAATGTTTCTGTTAAAATTATTTTTGAGAAATTGATTAACTTATTTATTTTAATGTAAATTAACATATCTATTTAAAAAAGACATGTTTTTGTTCAGAATTTACATATTGGCTTCAATAATGTGTTCCTCATCTCTCTTCTTAAACAATTACTATTATGATAAAAAATAATTAACTTTGAATTTTCTCAGCCTAGTTATGTCATCAGTTCTTAGATGACTTAAACTTTAATTCTGAAATTCCATAAATACTTCAACATATCATTTGACTTCATTTTAAAATATCACATTTATAAATTCTCCTCACATCATTTTTCCCAATGATGAATCATCCCTGCAGAGTTTAGAAGGCTGTACTTTTTCATACTTCTATCTCCTCATCCCAAACATCCTCAAGTGAAGTCATTGTTTTGTTTCAGTCTCCTGACATGTTTACTTAGTGTTTGGGTGCAGTCACAACAGCCATCTGCTGCCTATTCTTTTGGGTCAGTCTTGTTGTCTAGTCACTTAAACATGAGTATCTTTCACAAGTTGCTCATAAAATATGTTAATATTTCTTTCAAAATAATTTGTTAATGAATGTAGAATTAGATTACCTAAGATGTATATTTATAATTACCTTTGTATCTGTAATATTTATAATGCGTATCATGCAGTGGTTTAGGATGGGGAGGGAGGGGTGGCACATTTTTCTCATAATATGGAGGGAGGGGGTGGTGTTTTTGGCCAACTGCAGAGTTTTTTCTTGGAATGGGGCAGCACTATCCCTATCACTGATACCTTGCATTATACTCTTAAATATTTTCTTTGTGACTTACATGCTGTACTCAAGATGGTGATCCATGTATATTTTAATACAAATTCAGTTATGAAAGAATTGAGGTCCTTGCAGTGTTCTCAAGTACCATGTTAGCCCTTCTAGGATCATTTTTTGTAATAAAAGAAAGGTTTGTTTTTGTATTAAATATTTTGTACCCTTTTTAAGTAGAAGAACATAAAACGTCTAGGTTCAAAATGTTCAATTTCATCATTAAGTGTATCAAACTTTAAAAACCTCAAATACATAACTCAAAATGTTGAATTTTTCACCATCTATGGTTGAAACATTAAAATAAAGCGTTCTATTTTGTACCCTTTTTATAAATAAGTTATATTTATAATTGTATTAAATTAAATAGGAAATAATAGCTCTCAACCCTCATTTTTATTTTATATCTTACTGTTAGTGATTACTGTTTTTGTTATAGTCCTACTTCAAAACCATATGTATCTGTGATCTAATCTTTTGATAGATGATTTAATTTTGAATCCAATGATATATCTCATTACCGTTTTTTTTAATTGAGCAACCAACAGGGTTTTCAAGATGTATAAAATGAGCTCACATACAATATTTACCACATACATGATCACAAACTATATTTGCATTTTTAAAGTTCTTTTATTTATTTATTTCAGCATTGAAAGTTTGTTATTTCCCCCTGAAGTTCATACGTAAGTTAAATCAATTGCTATTTTTATTTTTCTACTAAAAATCGTAAAATAAAAAAGAATAGAAAAATATTAAATAAAATAATACAGTTAGGAACTGGTGAGCTGAGATATTGCTTTTTGAAGAGCTCACTAAGAAGATGCTATACAGAGCAATTTTCATATTGACAGTAAAGCATTATCCATTTACTTTATTTCTAACCAGAGGGAGATTACTCATTGGCACAGCATATGGATTAGTCGCACATCTTTCTGTGATATACGCTGTCAAAAATCGGGCTTTCAATCATGTCATTGATGCCTCAAGCTCCAGCTGGTTACAAGAACATGTCACTGATATGAGTGAAAGGTAAACAGCTTGTCTCTAGTTAGATTTAGTGAACGTACTGTTAGCATTGACTGAGAGGTAAACAGCTTGTCTCTAGTTAAATTTAGTGAACTGAATATAATATTAGCATTGCATTAGAAAATTAAAAGTGTCAGATCCAGAAGAGAAAAAAATTGCACAAAAATTGGTTTGGCACAGGGGTGGTGATACTTGATTAGAATTCTGATTTATTTTCTCACATGAACATTTTCAATTATGCTTATATACCTATAGGCTATCCACAAAGTTGGGATTTGCTCTCCGGTCTAATTTACTGCTGATTGCAGCCATATAAATATTGGACTCTATTTAAACTAAATAATTTCTTATATCTACATCAGTTTCTAACAGTGTTTTGTGTGTGCCTCCACAGCTTATGTCTATTTGTACCAGGACTGAGTAAGCTGCTCTTGCCCAGGATCAACCCCTTTTCTCTGATTGGTTTTGCTTGTAGCCTGGCTTTACTAGTCACCTATTTCCTTATTGACACACAGTATGGATAAACTTTAGAAACGTCTTTGCTAAAGATTTCAGTAATATGATTGTGCTATTACAAAATGTTTGACTCTGGTATTGCCTTTTTACGTGCACTGAGTCAAGGCATCATGATGCTTTTGTGTGGCACATTAAGTTATTTTTTGTAAAAAAAAATGTTTATTTCACATTTATGTGTGATTAACTTTTAAAATTGGTTACTCGAGTGAGGTAAATGTGTGTGGGTGACAATGGAAAATAAATACGATAAGTATGTAATAATTTGTATATTTATGCCTATAGCCAATACTATATTGCTGATCCATGGGCAGCCATTGCTATAGCATTCATGACCTTTGGGACTATGTTTCCTATGAGTTCCTACACAGGGAAAATATTATTGCAGGTACTTGATTTCTCTAACATCTTTGTGTTACTGTACTCAGAATTCACTCCAATATTTTTAGTTTTCTATCCAAAAAAGAAAACAACAAAAAAACATTCCCTTATTTTGATTACGAAATATTATTTTAAAATTTCCCCGTTTTATATGAACACTAAAACTTAATTAATTTCAGAAACAAAATTTTGAGTTCTCAAATACAGTAATGATTTTAATATTAAGTTTTTTTTACAATACAATCTTGTAAAATATGTTAGCTAATTGTATATTTCAGACAACTCCATCTCATATACTGGGGCAACTGGATAAAGTTTTGAGAGAAGCATCAACATTGGATGGAGTTTTGGAGTTTAGACATGAACATTTCTGGACACTTTCTTTTGGAACATTGGTAATGTATTATCATTATTGTTTTAAATTTATCTTTCAATTTCATGCTATAGCGACTTTTGTATAAGTTCTTGTATTTTGTTTGAAATAAGAAATATGGGATTTCTATCCTTATCTTTGTGCCAACACAAACAGAGCAAAGAAAATGGTGTTTTTTTTAAAACTAATTTTTCTGTGTTTTGTTTTTCAATTTTTTGTCATCTTGGTAAAGTTTTTACTCCTATTCCATTTGTGCAACTTTAAACATTAATTTTTTAAAGCTTTATTGCAGTTGCTACTTGATCTATCAGTATCAGCTATTTAATGTGCAGGTTTTAATGTCAAATAAAATGATAATTTTTTTATTGTTTATTTCTTAAGCATATAAATGATGATTGTTTTGAAAGTTGCTAAAATTATATTTTTAATAAGAAATATTTTTTTTTGTGAGCTGAATTTTACACTTCTTTAAAAATTTTTTACGGTATTTAACACAAACAAGTCAAAGTTATAAACAAGTTGATTTGGCAATTTTGTGAAATGTTCATGACAGGCTGGCTCTGTGCAAGTGAGGGTCCGCAGAGATGCAGATGAACAGTTAGTTTTGGCACATGTGTACAACAGACTGAACAATCTTGTCCATAGACTCACCATTCAGATCTTTAAAGATGATTGGTCAAGGTCATCTACCTATACAACACCTGCACTTAGTAGCATGCCATTACCTGGTCCTCAGGGGTTTCACAGCTACACCCATCCACCACCACCTAATACTGACATATACAATAAGCCATCTCTTCCAACACCACCAGCTAGTTACAGACAGTTCCCTTCCCCATCTGTTTGATTTTGTTTCTTGGAATATTATTAAAAAGGGCTTAATGAGACTTAATTCTCTAAATGATAAGCTCAATTTATTGCTGATAAATAAAACACTAGTATCCAAAAACAAAAAAATCATGTTGTGTTAGCTTGGAATGTGAGAATCTCAGAAATATACTTAATTTTATTGTTAGACAGAATGTTTTTTGGTTGGTGAACTGTTTTATTGAATTCATCTTTCAAGGGTTGGACAAAAGTAATCCTTAAGTAATGCTTAAAAATGCTAATAAATCTTTTACCTGAATTAATTTTTAAGCATGTCTAAACTTATATTTTTCCACATACTTAAAAGCATTATGTTTGTAATGTGCCATGCTTTGTATTAGTGAAACAGGACACAACAGAAAGAAGGTGTTTATGGGAGAGATTGCTAGTTTATGTATTTATTATAATAACAATGGACAAAATGTTTATTTTTGCAGAAGCATTTAATGAAATAAAAATTATATAACAACAATCAGCGTTTGAAAAAAAGTCATTGATATTTCATTGACCTTGTTGTGGCCAAGCTGATCCATTATCATGTCCCTTATCAAAGGGGAGTTTAAAAATGTGGTCCCATTTACAAATCCCACTAAAGACTTCCAGTCTTTTGATCACATAGAAGGCACAGAAATATTTGATAGAAAAGGTAAACGCCAACAATATTTGTCAATCAAATCTTTGAAAAATGGAAATAGAACAGGAGACCAATGTCTTTTTTTAGTAGAACATTAACATTATTAGCAAAGGTTTTACAACAAAAGAGAATAGATTGGAAAAAAAATTCATTAAAAAATAGGCTATTGCACTGAAAATTTTATAAATTTTAATGGAAAAATGTTAAAACTAACAAAATTAAATATGTTTAGAAACTATCACCATGCTACTAGAATTATTAATTTAAAAGTAACATGACCAGAAAATCTATTTTATTCCAAATGCTATCACTCTCAATAGAGATGAAATTGAGGGAAGATTTGCTCTAAACAACACATGTACCAACTAAATTAGCCCACAAAAGAAATCAGCTATGCACATATACACCAGCTAGCTTTCTAATACTTTGGACAGATATGTAAAAAAACAATTTTAAGCAAAAGATAAAATATTTATAGTGTTCTCTTTTTTTTTTTTAGCCAAAACGTTTTAAAGTAGTAGAAATCACTATGAGTTTTGATATCTTTGGCCCATTCCTTGAAACTTTTAGAAAAGGTATTTTTCCACCAAAAAAGCTAGCTTTCTAATACTTTGGACAGATATGTAAAAAAACAATTTTAAGCAAAAGATAAAATATTTATAGTGTTCTCTTTTTTTTTTTTTTTTAGCACAAACGTTTTAAAGTAGTAGAAATCACTATGAGCTTTGATATCTTTGGCCCATTACTTGAAACTTTTTAAAAAGGTATTATTTCACCCAAACTGAAGGAATCCCTCTGTATGGTAATCAACATGGAAATCTGATGTTTGACATGGATCTACAACTACTACAAGTGAAAGAAATAAAGTGAGCTCACTCTTTGAGACAGTACAATGATGAGGGTAAAAATTACCAAATTGTCTTGACACTACGGAGACTCATCTTGATTAAAGCAAGTGTGAGCAAGTGTGAAATCTAAAAAACTACATTTCATTTAAATATTAAAAAATGTTGCTTTTCCACTAAAGGAAATTTTTACAAAATATTTTTTTACATAGGTTTGTCCTCACCCACTGTTTTATCATCATTAACTTTATTTCCATTGTGAATTTAATTCTATTTAAGAAACCAATGACTGATAGAAAACTTTAAAAATAATTTCCAAAAACATTCTTTAATGTAGAATACAAAACAAATTAAAAAATTATCTGAATTAACCATTTTTCACTTGGGACTGACTATATAGTGTATTCAAATATACATAAGCTGCTGCTTACTTTCAGCAAGTAGGGGCCGATATTCTTCATACGTTGGAAAATTTTCAATGATTTCTTTGTTTAAATCTAACAATAGATATGTTTAAAGAATAAATAAAATGTAGACATTGGCTTATTGTACAAAAGGCATGCAAACTGATATAGCACAGTACTAAAATGCACAGATTAAAAAAAAAATGTATTAGTTATTTCTTTAATCAACAAAAAAATTGGTAAAGCATGTAAGATTATAATTATATTTAACTTTAACTGAACTAAAATTAATCTTCTTATGAATACTATAACCCAAAAATTGAAACAGAGCATTATATTATAAGCCATTTTTCGAATGCAATACCCGGTAATACCAAAAGTTCTGACTTTTTCAATTAAAGAAGAATAATGAAAAACCGTTCAGTTTTGGTTTAATTGTCTTTCTTATCAATGCTCTCGTCAGAGACTTTGGTAAATGTGAGTCCATGCTCCTGTAGGCGATTGATCAGCCCGGTCCCTTGGAAGGCAGCTCCTGGTGTCAGCACTCCACCTCTGAAATAAAAAAGTTAATTTGAAAACATGGGTCTTGGTGGCTAACAGAAAATGTGACGCTATTAAAGAAGGAATGTTTATTATTCAAAATTTGTTACTTTTCAGCTACCGGGTACATGCTTTTCTCCAATAGTAAAATAAAACTAAAAATTAATATTTATTCACTCTAAAATGCTGTGCATTTAATAATCAATGCTATACTTACTTATGGAACATTTTAGAAGTTTCTTTGAGCACAGTAACAGCAGATTGGACCATGCAGATGGGTGTTGTCACATAGCCTGGCTCTGGAATTAATCATTTTGAGGAGATTTAAAAATGCTGAATAAAAATTGAAATCTTGTTTCATTAAAATTTGAGAATTATATTTTAAAAACTGCTAATATTTATCCTAATATATTTTTTCAATATAAATTTGGTACTCTTTTATTGACATTTCTAATTATGTGACGGGAATATAGACTAAAAATATCAATATTCTTTTAACACTAAAAATTGTTCAATTTTTGTTTTAAATTGTTACTTTTTTACTTCCAAAACTTTTCAGTGTGGTGGACTGGAAATTGCAGCCGGGACTGATTGCAAAGGCTATGGATTATTTGTCCCTATAATAAAATTAATTTTCTCAATCCCTTTAACTGTGCCAGTCCATTTTGATAATCTCATTTTCTAAAGCACGTTACCTGGTCCCACAAGTTTCGTGACAATTTTTTTGTCTGGCTTTGTTCTGTCTTTCTCTGATTTGCTAAAGCCATAGCCAATAAATGTCATAGAGAATGAACAACCTTCGATCTGTTGTAATGACATAGAATTCATGGATAGTTTGTGAATTATTTCGAGCAAAATAAATTTTTACCAATATTTTTTCATAGACATAGAAGTAAAAAAAATTTATTATGTAACATTTGATTTGGTTATTTGTGTCTCACTATGTTCTTTCTCAGATTTAGCAAATTTTCAACCTATTTATTTTTGTTCAACTTCTTTTAAGTTTTAACTTTAAGCAGCGCTTTCATTGTTTCTTTTGTTAGCCAGAGATAGTAGCAGCAGTTGGAAAGCTATTTTTTTTTACAGGATCTCTGGGATAAAACAAATTTAAATAACAAATAGAGAGGCTTGGATGGTGATTCCATTTTATTTCCTCTCAAGCCATATTTATGCTCAGTTCTTGAAATGGTTGTCACTCCTACGCCAGATGGTTCTATTGTTTTCTTATTGGTACCACTCACTTCTAAGGATTTATCATTATCAATATTTATCTAGCTAATGAAACTTCATATAAATACTAAATAATTAAAATTTGTCTCTATCTTAATGGATTGATTGATGACTCAACAAAATTAAGAAGTCTAAACATAAGACCAGTGAATTTGTATGTTACCTGTTTCCGTGTTGGGCCACCTTTTTTGAAGAAACCGAATGAAACAATGTGAGGGTACTGTAAAAGAAATAAGCTTTTAAAAGCACTTGAAATAATTTATATGAGATTATCTTTTTAAAAATGATACCCAGATATAAAAGTAACCTATCTAATTGATATATAAAAGTAACACACCTGATTGAGATATAAAAATAACATATCTAATTCTAATTGAGATGTAAAGAAACATCTATTTGAGATATAAAAGTAACATCCAAAGCGAGATATAAAAAAAAAGTAACATTTCTAATCGAGATATAAAAGTAACATGATTGAAATATAAAAGTAATATCTAACAGATATAAAATTAACATATCTAATTGAGATATAAAATTAACATATCTAATTGAGATATAAAATTAACATATCTAATTGAGATATAAACTACATATCTAATTGTTCCCCTACATTAAGAATTATTATTCTTATGATTGTCAATAGATTTTTAAATATATTTCCTTATCCCAAATTAAACATTTCCTTTCTCTTCCATAAAATGATTAACGAAGAGCACATCCCTAAACCAAACAATACAATGTTTGTGACTCCATGTTGTTTGTGCCAATGTGCTGATTTATTGGGGAACATATCCATGCCACATATAAACTGAATAAAAGTTAGACTGGTCTATTTCATACCACTGAGCTTGGTCTAACATCAGATGATATTTTAACGCATCTACTGATGTTGCTGTCCTGATAATGACACTTTTTTACGGTTGAACGTAGTGTCAATGCAATGAATATATATATATTGGTCATCCACCAAACCTTTGAACACAACATTTTTTCCATCAATTTATGGTACCGATAACTATAATAATTAGTAATTAGTGGTAAGAAGTTGGCTGACTCCAATGAATGCAAATCAATCTATAAACCTTTTTACCTTCAACATGAAAGATCTCCCAAAGGAACATCGTGACAGGATATAAAAGATGATCCCAAAAATAATCAATCCAATCGCGCTCAGCAGACTTGGGAAACACATGTATGGTAAAAACTCAATCTGGAAATCAAGAAAACAACTTCAGAAATGTGTGTAGGTTTGGTCTTCTCATGTTTGTTCAAGCTACAAACAATGATACGGTACTATTTGGATTAATTTCTAAATAATACTTCTCATAATTTTCTATGTCATGGAATTCTATTAAAGTTAAAACAAGATAATCTGTTCACCAAAAACTTCATTTCATAATATAGAGAGAATTCATAATATATTTTATATAGACATATCTGAAAAGACAAGAATAAGTATTGTATTTTGTTTACAACTATTCCATGTTAAAAAATATTACATTTGGAAAAAAAACAACTTCATGAGTATTAATTGCTTAGCATATATGAAATCTTTAATGAAATTGATATTCTTCGTACTGGCTTTTCCAGTCTCTTTGTGCTTAGGAAATCTCTCACAGTCCTGTAAACAACAGATTTGTCACTCCCAAGAAATGGCAAGCACCATTTTTTTAGCTCGTCACTGTAAAACAGGGCGGATCTGGTGGATGTAATAACAATAAAACATGTGGGTGTTAATATATACGGGGATTATATCTATGGAGGTCTTCTGCAGATTTTATTGTATCATAGTATTTTACAACTAATTTTTTCTGAATTATTGGGTTAAAAAAATTATTTAATGTTTAATTATACATTACCGGTACTTTAAATAAATTCAGAGTTTTATTTCATTTCATAGAAGTAATTATTTTGATATTGATGTAATTATTGAAGAATTCTAACCTAACAAAATATCAAAGGAAAAATTGTGACAAAGTGTTTTACTAAGCTTGCCTTATGAACAGATAAAAAATGAAGACAAGTTTTTGGCAACTGATTTTTGAAGTGCATATTTATTTATTGATGAGAATTTTACCTTTTGGGCACTTTATATTGATATTTGGGCATAGGGTCAGGATATAAGGCTTTTCTCAGAGACTTGAGTTCATTCCAGTGAGCCAATCCATATACAGCTGATTCAAATGTACCAGTGTTGATAGCAGCACCCTGTTTAAAGAATATGCTTAAGTTGAATGAAAGACTCTAAGAAACTTCAGATAAACAAAATGAATCATAACAGTCTCCAATGCAGATATACTTACATCCGGCCCACTCTTTGATTCAAAATAACTCTCAATGTTAGTGAGTTCACCTGAAAAATTTTCAAGACTGAAATTTCAATATTTTGGTTCAAAATATGCTAAGCACAAATTTATATTAGTTTGTTTAAATATTACGAGGTAGCTAATTTGGTGATTATTTAATTACCAATGTCAGGTCCAAACTTATAGATCGTAATTACACAATAGGATGATAAAACAACACAAGAGATATTTGAGAAACGGTGTCTCAAAAAAGATGATGTAATGCAACAAAGATTTTGATGCTTTCAATGTGTTAGTGCTATTAAACTTTTTACAGGCAGCTTTATTTGATGATGTGATATTTCAAGAATTTTAAGCTCCTACTTAAATTTTAAGTTACAGTTGTGCTAATAAAGTGGAGTTCTGTAACACTTTAAAATACAAAGATAAGTACAGAAACTATGTTCAAAAACTTCTCTCTTTTTAATTGTTTATTATATATGTACTTGCAAGAACCTGGCATTTTTTAAAGAATATGGTTGTCCCAACATAAGAGTTTTAATAACAAAAATGTAGAAAGTCAGAATGAAAAAATTAAATTTATTTCAGATCAATGAACTACAGGTACAAAGTTTCTAACTTTTAGTTTTAGCTGGATCATAAATATGAATATGCAAGGAGACTTACCATCAGTGAATTGTTGCCTTGTGTATTCCAAGCCCATTTCTGCAGGAATGCTATCAAAACCAACTGTGCCAATGACAAACACATTTTTTTCTTGGGCTTTAGCATTGTACAGCAATTGCATCTTTTCAAGGAACTGAAATATCATTGGTGTAACTACTTTTACCTTTTCGAAAACAACATTATCAAAATTTGAAGACTGCGGATCAAATAAAATACAATTTATCTTTAGCCATGTTGTCTCTTGGGTCACAGTGATTGGCAAAGTAATATAACCTTTAAAAAAAATTATTTTGTTATGCTGGCCACATGACTTTTAGACTTACTTGAGGTTCCCCACTAATATCAAGATGGTGAGCTCCATTTTCAATACAAGCTTTCACTACAGGCTCTCCGTAGAAGCGATACTGTAATTGAATATAATGGTCAATAATACAAAACTAAAGCATAAGACATTTCATTTTCACATTTTTCAAACACATTCAATTTTAATTTGTTGTATAAAAGTTAAAAAGCTTTAAAAATGAAAAATGTAAATATTATTTTCTTAAGCCTTAAACATTTTTTTTAAGAGGTAAAAATATTTTCTGTTTACAAAGCACGTCTTTTACTCACAGGCCCAACACAGTTGAGAACCACTTTAGCTTGTTTGGCCATTTCTTCAAGGGAAGAAGTGCTGCTGACATCTGCTATAATAATGGGAGTTTCATCCAGATTTTTGCCTAAAATTTTAGAAGAAAATAGTGGATACAAATTTAGAGGGAGCCCTAACATAATAGGATTTTCTCATATCCGGAAATTTGATCGAAAGAAATTTCGTCAACAGAAATTTGATCGACGGAAATTTGGTCAAATCTTTTTTCCAGTTCACACGTTAAAATTTCGCTTCAAATTTCTTGTTGAAAGTATTATTTTGTTTTAATATATAGTATAGTGTGTTCAAAAAGAAATTTGACGAAAATTTTAAAGTGTGAACTGTAAAAAATGTTCCACCAAATTTTCATCTATCAATTTTCCTGTCTATGAAATTTCTTTCCATCAAATTTCCGGCAAACCGGATTTTCTACTGTGTCTGGTCCCTTTGGGTCTTCTGTGGTTTTATTTTCCCTAGGATGTCCACCTAAATTCTATCATGAGAACTGAGCTTGAAGGCAATCAACAGACATGATCAAGTAATCTCCAGCCATATTAATCAGTTTATGCAATGGTTGTCATTCCAAATTGGCATCTCAATTCCTGATTGGATATTGCTTTGGCCAGATGGTGCTTCTTAGTCATTTAGTCTGGAAAACTAACGTTTCTATTATTATTCTTCAACCACTCTGATACAAAGAACATTTAAAGATGTTGGCCTCTGTTCTATAATTCAGTCTTCAAAATCATTTTCGTTTAAATCTTTAAAATTATTGCCTATGAATGTACATTATACATTTCATCACATTGCACATCTTTCGACCATAATTTTCAGCCAATCTTTCTTGACCATCCACAATCTAAAACACGAAGCTTATTTGCTTTAAATCATAATGAGCGGATGAATTCATTATTTTTACTCTCTTATGGTTAAACAGATTAATTTGAACAACAGGGTTTAATACGGCACTTTATTCCAATGGAAGGCTATGATAATTATGTAAATGTATAAAAATAAAATTCAGAGCAAGCTGAAAATAATAGTTTCATTGGGTTTTATTTAGTTCCACTATTGTTTTACAGAGACAGTAGCTACATCTCTGCCAAATAACATTGCTGTAGAAGAGCTGTCAGACGCACTAAATGACTACTTTATTACCAAAGTTAAGAGGATCAGAGCGAAAATTGACAGTTACATCGATACTGCTCCAGAATTCTCACTATTCAACGGCTCTTCTATGGCTGAATTTGTTGAGGTCAGTGAATCGAATGTGAGGAAAATCCTCGCTAATACCCCAAGAAAGTCATGTTCGCTTGACCCTCTTCCAGCAGGGCTCTTGTATGAATGTCTGGATGAAATAGTCCCCATCATCACTTATATCATAAATCAGTCCTTAGCTACTGGTATTGTTCCATCATCTTTTAAAGAGGCGATCGTCACTCCACTATTAAAGAAATCAAATCTTGACCCAAATGTGATGGAAAATTACCGCCCCATCTCAAATCTACCATTTATTTCTAAAATCTTAGAAAAAGTCGTTCTCCGCCAACTCCTGGATCACCTCACTCAGTTTGACTTGTTTGAACCATTCCAATCAGCATACAGGGTGCATCACTCTACTGAGACAGCTCTGTTGCGCGTCGTAAACGACCTTCTGTCGTCTTGTGATGAGGGCCGGGTATCGATTTTGTCTTTACTCGATTTATCGGCAGCTTTCGATACGCTCGACCACGGCATACTGCTCCAGCGTCTGCAACAAACGTTCGGTCTCACTGATACCGTCCTGTGTTGGTTCCGATCGTATCTGACTAATCGGGTCCAGTCGGTTATTTCAAACGGCTTGACCTCGAAGAAATCTAATCTCGAATTCGGAGTACCCCAGGGCTTGGTCCTAGGCCCGATGCTTTTCACGATGTACATTCAGCCCCTGGGTGCAGAGATCAGGCAGTTTGACATGTTGTATCACATGTTCGCGGACGATACACAACTTCATCAATCCGTGATCACTTCTCAGTTCCCTCAGCTTCTCAGTATTACACAGAAGACAATGGAGTCGGTAAAGCACTGGATGACCATTAACAAGCTCAAATTAAATGATGATAAGACTGAGCTGCTCCCCATTGCGACCGCTCAGAAGCAGAAATCTGCAAATAACACGACATCCATTACTCTCTCAGGTGTGCGTATTGAGTTAGCTCAAACAGTGCGGTACCTGGGTGTCTACCTAGATAGAAGACTAACTTTTGAAAGTCATATTAACATGCTATGCAGGGCGATTTTTCTGGAGCTGCGCAGGATTAGTCAAATCAGGCCCTTCCTAACAATTGATACAACAAAGAGGCTGATGTCTGCATTTGTGCTATCAGGCATGGACTATTGCAATGCTCTCATGGTGGGTCTTCCAGTTACGCTCCTGGATAAAATTCAAATAGCACAGAATAATGCGGCTCGCATAGTTCTCCGCAAACGCAAATTCGACCATGCAAAAACACTTCTGAGAGAGTTGCATTGGCTGCCGGTGCGTGCTCGCATAGAGTACAAAATCGCAACTTTGTGCTACCGCTGCTTACATGACCTGGCGCCGTCCTATCTGAAAGAGCTGCTGACGCCTTATGTACCCAGTAGAGAGCTCCGCTCATCCGTTAGTGGCAAACTCTCGACACCACGTGTTTGCCTTGAGACTTACGGAAAGCGCACTTTCGCATTTGCTGGTCCAACAATTTGGAACGCCCTTCCTGTCGATCTTAGAAACAACCAGACACTGGAGTCCTTTAAAGCTCCGCTCATCCGATAGTGGCAAACTCTCGACACCACGTGTTTGCCTTGAGACTTACGGAAAGCGCACTTTCGCATTTGCTGGTCCAACAATTTGGAACGCCCTTCCTGTCGATCTTAGAAACAACCAGACACTGGAGTCCTTTAAAACCGATCTAAAGACACATCTATTTCGCAAATACCTTCTGGGATGATTGTCTACCTTATTTTCCATGTGTTGCTGTGTTGCTCCGGGTTGAAATGGCTAGAAAGACTTTGATATTGTATGCTTGTAATTAGTTTTTGTAGTGTTGCGTTTGTTTTAAATGTGGTGAATTATAGATATGTTTTTTGTTGACTTTGTACCGCGCTTCGAGCCTTTGGGGATGAAGCGTGTTTTTGAAATGAACTTTATTATTACTATTATTATTTTTGTGTTAACTGATCCACAGCATTTAAATGTTATAAATTTTGAGACAAACTGATCCAAAAGTTGATTCTATCTTGAGATAACTAGGCCGATCTATCGGCCAGAGTCGAATGGCAAAAAAGACGAATGGCCGATCCATCTGCCCAATAATATAAGCCTCGAGATTGGCTGGCTGGGCTTTGTACCAGCTAACCAGATTGATTCTTGCACGTTTTGCTCATCTCACCATTTTAATGGCGTCTTCCACTGATAGTTTAGTTATGTCATTTTTATAGCAATTTGTTTTCCCTAGTGACCCTTATAAATGCTTACAAATTATATGACCTTGAAATATGCCTAAATATAAGCACCCCCAATGGAATATGTTATGCAGTTTTACACATTAAATCTCATTCAAATGTTTGTTAAAACTTATTTAGGCTTCAACAGTCTGAAATTTCAAACAATTCTGCAAGTTAGACAATTTTTTTCAGAGAGTAAAAAAAATTGCATGCATAAATTATGCAAATCAGGAAATCTCATTGGCATAAATGTTGAGATTTCAGTTTGATTCATAAAGATCATATTAGTTCATTCAGTTCCCTACAAGAATATATGCAGTTTTATATTTGTTGAACATAGTTTCTTTTTTGTAAAATAATTTGCATGAATGAAAGTGCAGGGCTTGTGAGAAGGGCTCCATCTCTTTGGCACTGACAGTCCAAAAAGGCTCTGCCTCAAGAAGGCTAGACTTTCTAATACCCTTAGTTTTATTGAAATACTTTCCGTTTCTTTTGACACTTTGCAAAATAATAAGACTGTTTGTTAGGGCATCCCAGAAATGCTCAAAAAAAATATTTTTTTTAATCTTTGGTGTCTCACCCCCTGAAATGTGTCTCTTGGGTACAATGAGTGAATTGGTGAAGTTGTAGCTCATTTGAACAACATTTAGAGGTCCCCCAAGAGCTTTTAAAATTCCAGTATTAGGCCAACATAAAAATCCAGACGAATCGTGGCTCAAATAACTTGCAGTTTTTGCATGCCATATATGAATAAAATGAAGTTTAAATATACTTATATTTACCTCATTGCTACCATTAACTAGAGTTGAAATTGTGTGATTCTTAATTAGAAAATGTAATAAATGCGAGAAAACATATAAAATACCTAATGTGCAAAACTTGTGCATATTTTTTGAAGATTTGATTGTTTTAAACTAAGCATGCTAAATTGTCAGGCTAGAAACAATTATGATCCATCCATTTGTCGGGATTCCAGTGACGATGCAGAACCTGATGAAGAATTTGTCATCCAATCAGCATCCTCAAGCAAAACAAATTCTGCAACACGACATCGCAGACGAAGCATCATATCACCAAAAGTTGCTGCAGTGCTGGACAGAACGAACACCAGCATTAGAAAATCTACAATGATACTTGCATCCGCATTCAACGAAGCTGGTGTTCCGACATCTGACACAGTATTTTCCAAGAGCACAATGCATCGTCATCGCAAGCTTCGTCGTCAACAAGCTGCAGCACGTATAAAAGAAGACTATATTCCCTCAAAATCAATTGTTCATTGGGATGGTAAGCTATTGCCCGATGTTACCGGAGAGGTTACCAACAACGTCGATCGATTACCTGTCCTGCTCTCATCACTTGTCGATGGCACTACAAAGCTTCTTGGTGTTCCCAAGTTAGCATCCGGGTCCGGGTCAGGACGGGCAGCTGCTGATGCAGTATATGAACATATCAAATCGTGGAAGTGCGAATCTATGGTCATCGGCATGTGCTTCGACACTACGGCTTCCAATACTGGAAGACTCAATGGAGCTTGCACTCTGTTAGAAGTAGCCCTGGGACGTAATCTATTATGGATGGCATGCCGTCATCACATGTTGGAAGTACTCCTTTCCGATGCATTCAATGTTTGTCTTGGACCATCCACTGGACCAGAGATTTTGTTTTTTAAGAGGTTTCGAGAAAAATGGCCAGAATTAAACCACACACCCGAAGCCAGATCCGCCCCTTTGATAATCGTGTCCGATTCGATTAAAGAATTTATCAAATGTCAACTTGAGGTCAGTCATTCACGTGATGATTATTTGGAATTTCTTCTGCTTGCTGCACAAATGGTTGGGTTGGAGGTTGATGTCAGCATTCGCAGACCTGGTGCCCTACATAGGGCAAGGTGGATGGCGAAAGCAATCTATGCATTGAAAATCGAACTATTGTTTGCAGGCAACGAAACCATCTTTCAGTTAACAGCTCGAGAATTACAAGGTATTCAGCGCTTTAATCGGTTTACCATATGTGTTTATCTTCAATCATGGTTTTCATGCAGGCTCACCGCAGATGCACCTGTGAATGATATCTTGTTGATACAGCGTTTATACGAATATGATGATGCTGTTCTTCGATCGACTGGATTGAAAATGATGGTGCGTCACTCGTGGTACTTGAGTCCGGAACTGTCGACGCTTGTGTTATTTTCAACCCTTTTGTCGGACAAAGAAAAAACTGGCCTTGTTCGGACAATGCAATCAGAACGTGGACCGCATCTCATAAAAACACTACCAAAAAGTGTTGTTGATTTGCGTGCTTCTACCACATTTTTTGAAACATCCAACATTGATGCCAGTTTTCTAGATGTTCCTGTTGAAGCATGGTCAGATACACCATCTTTTAAAGTTGCAGCAGATTTTGTAAAGAATCTGGCTTGTATCAATGACTCTGCAGAGCGAGGTGTAGCATTGATACAAAATTTCAATGACAGTATCACCAAGGACGAAGAACAAAAACAATTTTTGCTCCAAGTGGTTGACAAACATCGGAAAAATTTTGCAGAGTGTAATCGTGAACAGCTGGCTAAAATTTAAATTTGAAGAACTTTTTTAAATTTTTGTCTACCCTACAGTACAAAGTACAAGATAAATATTAGGAATGCTTAATTGCATTGCTTATTATTATTTTTCAAGCAGATTGACATTCTTTCAAGAATTAACTTGACAAAATGAATAAAACTTTGTTTTTCATAATTTTTTACTTAAATTTCAAATTTAAAAATATAAACCATTCAAGATTTATATATTTTGTTTCATTTAATATTATAAACAATACTAAGCATCAATTTGTTACTTAATATATCAGTTTCGCATATAATGCAACATTAACGCTGTATTAGATTTGACCGCGAATGATTTTACACCAAAATCTGGAACTTTAAACCTCTTGGGGGACCTCTAAACATTGTCCAAATGAGCTGAAATTTTGCAGGTTAACTACTGTTACCATACAGACATATTCTGTGGGGTGAGACATCAATATTTCAAAACTTCATTTTTTTGGGACGCCCTACTGTTTGTCCAGCAGTCAGGCGCCAACTCACAGTTTCACTCCATAGCAAATAGTATTCCCACAATTAGGTAGAGGGTGAAGTAAAAGAGTTTCAAACCATAAAAGCAAACAATCTATAAATTAAACGTTACCTGTACGACTAGAGGCTTCGCTAAGAGCTTTCTGAAGTTTCTCCATGCTTCTTCCAGCAATAGCCCATGTTAAGCTCTCCTCTTCAGCAACACGAGCCACTTCATCAACTGTGTATTGGCCAGTAAAGCCAGATGCTCCAAAGAGAACAATGTCATATTTTTGTTCAGCCATAATATCTAAACTTAACTGCAGAAATTATGTAGAAGAAGATAAAAAAATAAATTAATAATAATAGGGAATCCATTGCCTTTTTAACATTAATCGGGTTATATATATGCTTTTTTAAGGATAGTTTTATAAGCCTACAGACAGATTGCAAGAAAAAAATCAAATAATTGCACAAACTGTTTTACTTTTGACGAAGTTCTGTTTTATCAATTAGTGCTGTCCAACCTTTTTGTCTTTGTGGGTCAAATATGTATTTTTGTGTGTGAAGCTGAGTGCCGCATATGACATCTCAAAAGAAAGAATTTTAGACTTTAAAGAGAAGTATTCAATTTACTAATTACTTCTTACCTTATGCATAAAGAACCATATATCTGTCAGTATTATCACCACATCAAGATAGCGGTAATAAATAAATCAAATTAAAAAAACTGCAGCACTTCTTAATTGCCATATTTGGCTTTGACTTGCACTCTTCTTAATTTGCAGTTGGTATTCGTTTACTGCTGCGCTAATTAGGTTTCCTCAATTTTCGTCAGTCAGACCTTTTTTTTTTTTACTTGATGTTGGCTATTACTGAGAATCCAGCCTCATCAATATCTTTGTACAACATTTCGATAATTGTGGAAATTCATCTGAAGAAACATACGTCATCCAGAAATCAGTTCGCGATGTATTTTTATGTTTGTCACAAAAAAAACATATTATGTTGAATCAATGATGTCATGTTGCACTGCACCTTCATTTGATCCTAATAATTTCAACTTAATGAAATTATTAGTGGTTCATGCTTTGCACGTAAAGATGACCAAGTCAATTTAAAGTACCGTAGTAGCATTGACTTGAGCTGTATTTTGTTTAAAGTGAGGGAGAGTTGCTCAATTCATCAGCCTCACTCTCTCATCCTTACCTATTTTATCCAAAAAACGTGAGTAAGATGCAAATATCTTTAAATCTAACTTTAAGTTATCTAATAATAGTTTTAATCACTTAATTTTGACCAACTCTGGAATTGAGTAAAATTTGACTGTTGATTAAGTCTAATTTAGATTCAAAAACACTAATTTCTTTCATCCGCATTAGTAAGATTTGAAAATGTCCTTGCAATTTAAAATTTTAATTTAATAAGGTGACCTGCGACGTCTGTTAGAAATGTTAGCCTAAAAATAAACTCTGGCAATCCATATAATTTATCAAATAGTCCTGAGCTTTGGACCTGAGAAACAGTTTTACTTCTACAGTTAGATTCCAGAATCTTGACAGCACTTTCCCTTTGTTCAGCCCTCAAATATCAGTATGAAAAACAAAATCCCCCAAAATTCTATCAGATTCTTCCAACAAAGTCTTCAACTACTAGTGATTTAAATTGAATGAATTAGCTCATCATGTGAAATTTAACAATTTTCACTACCGGTGCACTATCCATAACATCTTTCAGCAAAGAAATTGCTGGGAAATGATACAAAGATACGCTTGAATGTCTGGAAAATCATATTCAGTCATCAGCAAACCAATAGGGCCAACACTTCTTCGCAACATTGCTGGAGCACCATTGGTTGTAACATAAATAAGGTTTTTCAAAGCAATACTATTTGTTAATAGAAATTCCTTCAGTGCCTTATATACATCCTCACCACGGGTTGTATTTTTCAATGGAAATAGTGCCAATAAGAGTTAAAAAGGAGACAGAGAAAAAGATAGGAAGATAATATCAAAGAGTGGATGGTACTAAAACTAGGCAATGCTGTGCAAAGTGCAGAAAACAGAGAGGAATGGAGAATGATAGTTTTTGTGTCATCTGCGGCGCTCCAATGGTCCAAGGACTAAGGGACATGATAATGATGATGAGTGCCAATAATTCTTCTTTAAATATATGGTCCATGTGAAATATAACCCAAACAATAAGTTGGACTGTATCAGTGATATCGTTACATACAAAATACTGACGAAGCTTATTGCCAAAAGACTACAACCTAACACTGAAGAAATACTAGGTGATTACCAATGTGGATTCAGGCCTAACAGATCAACGACTGATCAGATTTTCACCATCAGATGCCTATTAGAGAAATGCTATGAATTTAATATACCAGTACATCAACTGTATGTAGACTATAAAATGGCCTATGACAGCATCAAAAGAAACTATTTATATGAGACTCTGCAGGAGTTTGGGATATCCAACAAACTGACAACACTAAACACTAAACAACTCAAAAAGCAAAATCAAGATTCAAGGAGAATATTCAAGGGAATTTCATATTAGACGCGGCCTAAGACTCACTGTCTTGTATGCTCTTTAACCTAACATTAGAAAGAGTTATTAGAAACATACACATTGACACTCGAGGAACAATAACAGGATTCTTTCTGAGGGAAACTCAAGACCCACAACCAACGGGCACACTCTACAACCAACCACTTCAGTATCTTGCATATGCTGATGACATAGCACTTCTAGAGAAAAGTATAAAAGACATATCAAAATCCTTTATTGAATTAGAAGACGCATCTCTACAAGGAGGGCTGGAAGTTAACAACCAAAAAACAAAATACATGACCATGATAACAGAGGAACAAACAGGTGAAACAATTAAAATTAGAAACCAAACTTTTGAAAAAAAAATCAATTCAAATACCTAGGATCCTTGTTAAATGAAAGAAACGAATTACTAACAGAAATAAAAGAAAGAATATCAGCCGGAAACAGGGCATACTTCAGTAGTCAGAAAATACTCAAAAGTAAAAACATTACAAGAGAAACAAAGAAAACTATTTATAAAACTGTGATCAGACCAGTTGTAAAATATGCAAGTGAACCTTGGACCCTAACAAAAACAGCAGAAAACCTATTAAACACATGGGAGAGGAAAGTTCTCAGGAAAATATATGGGCCAACAAAGGATGAAGATGGATGGAGAATACAAACCAACCAGGAATTATACAGTCTATATCAGGATCCCACGGTAGTGGCAGAAATAAAAAGAGGCAGGCTACGCTGGGCAGGACACCTAGAGAGAATGTCAAATGACAGAGGAACGAAGAGGGTACATCACCAATACCCCAGAGGAAAAAGGCTTAAAGGCAGACCTAGGCTTAGGTGGATAGATGATGTAAAAAAAGATCTACAGCAGCTGAAAGTCCAAGCATGGAAAAGAAAGGCATTAGTTAGGTCTGAGTGGAAGGAAGTGGTGAGGCAGGCCAAAGCCCTACATGGGCTGTAGCGCCACAGGGATGGATGGAGGGATGGATGTATCAGTGATATCACATGATTTATACAATGCAAGGTGGAAACAGACTGCCTATTTAGTTTCAACTAATTCACATATCCCACCAGTCATTTGCAACATCTTTAATACCCCAGATCTCATCTTGATTAATCATGTCTCAACATTTTATCATTATATAAAGCACAGACGTTAAATCATTGTGCTCCCTTATTTAGCTCAATTAAACCAGTCCTATTGGCGTGCATGTATATTTTTACGATGACCAGCTAGCTACACATCAAGTTACCATACTATTCATCTTTTCAAACACCGTTAGCAATTATACCTGTACATCACAACCACCCCCCCCACCACCCGACTGGCCTAAGCAGTAAAAAAAGGAGAAGTTAGTATGTGATTGCATGTCACCTCATGTTCCGACATTGTTGATCTGCTGATGTGCTTAATATAAAATAGTGTTGTTCATCCGTCAAGGACCATCTAGACATCCAGTTAGGGATGGAGTGGGTCACAGTGAGTGCGTAGATGGCTTTCAAGCCATAAAAAAACTTATCAAGCCATCTCACTCCATTTGCCACACCCCTTCTTTATCAAATGTTAAAACTTCTCCTGTGCTCTCTAGCGATTTCCAAACAATACTGTATCACTGAGTGTTGTTTTGATTTTTTCTCCATCTAACAAATTTTATGTTTTTACACAAATGTTGAAATATCTCAAGCTCTGGGGAGCCACTTTACCAATTCGCTACCAATGACGTCGACCCGACGCCACGATCACCCACTTTCAATTAATTACCAAGGATGTCACATTGTCGTCATAACAAAGAGGCAGAGAACTTTTTTGAAATACCAAGGACGTCACGTCGACATCATATTTCAATGCTATATATTTCTTTATTCATTAATCTATAGAGAAGTTAAAAAGCGAATTGGATAGAAAATGAAATATACCGAAATTTTTAAAAAAAAATAAAAAAATTTTTTTACATTTTTTTTAAAAAAGATGAGTCAGCAAAAATCAAGGCTCTTTTTTTATTTTTTTTTAAACCAGCGGTAATGAAAGGGTTAAAATCAGTAAGCGGGTTGGACAGCACTGATCTACTGATCTATGACAACTTATTAATATCTGGTCTTAATTAGAAGGAATAAGCCTAATAATTAATGCATCATTTTACCATCCAGACAGGTATATGATGCCATACATAAACATGAAATACTTACTACATAGTGATAGGAGGGGGAGGGGGGCATCCATTAATGATATCACTCTAAACATTAATTTAAATGGGCTAATTTTTTACACCCCCCCCCCCATGTTAGTATTAGATGTGTGATGTCAATAATATGCCATTTAATCATTTAAATAGCTTAATCTAATACGTTATTTAAGCTCAGGCCTGTTTAATAAATATTTAATAATATCTGGTCTTAATTAGAAGGAATAAGCCTAATAATTAATGCATCATTTTACCAACCAGACAGGTATATGATGCCATAAATAAACATGAAATACTTACTACAAAGTGATAGGAGGGGGAGGGGGGCATCCATTAATGATATCACTCTAAACATTAATTTAAATGGGCTAATTTTTTACACCCCCCCCCCCCATGTTAGTATTAGATGTGTGATGTCAATAATATGCCATTTAATCATTTAAATAGCTTAATCTAATACGTTATTTAAGCCCAGGCCTGTTTAATAAATATTTACATTGGCTAATAGGCTTAGAACTATTTATTTAGTTTTTTCTTATTTATAAGTATCCTGCTAAATGAGTAGTGAGTAGTGGCCCAGTGCTCGGCAAATCTTTTTCAATCCAAGAATTAAGAATTCCACAGCACACCACAGCCAGTAAAAACATGCAAAAATATACTAAATAACATAATGAATGAAAATGAGTATGTAGTTAGTAGTTGTAGTAACATTCTTAATCTTTTGCATCATGGCCATGAGTCATGACATGGGCTGGCATGCAATACTAAACTAATGTAGACAAAGGTATAATTAATAATTATAATCTGTCACCTGGACCTGGCATTACTTCGTGTCACAGACGTGGCCTGTCCATGTAGCTTTAATAAATAAGTTATACTTATGACAATGTTGTTGAATTATTGTATTAATGGTGTATGAGTAATAAGCAGGACTAAGAAGAGTATGACTCTACTCTTTTATCTTATTTTTATTTTAATTATGGCCGCCCAATAAAATTGGCCTATGCCTATGCCTTATTATAATTATAGTCGTATACAGTAACTGTATTATACAGTTTCAGTTATTCAATAATATTGTCAATTCAATATTAATATGAATATATGCAATGGCAATAGTGTTTAGTTAGTGATTTTGATAAATGATAATAACTCTGCAGTCGACCCATCGTTTTATACTCCCACAATAAATAATAACTGGTAAAAGTAGCGTAAAGCATTTACCCAATTAGTTTCTTGTAAAATAATGCCCCAACCTTCTGCGCTGTTGGCGATTAGACGGTGAGTCAAAGCGAGTTAATGAAAAACAACCAAGCGGTTTATCGGTATCAGAAATTGAACTTTGACCTTGGTCCATGATCTTAAAATAGAAATAGAACGTAAACAAATATCAGACAGTCTAAATAAAAAATATAATTGTATTTTATATTTCTGAAAATATTGCAATGAAAAAGAAAAAAAAATGAAGGAGCTTTTCGCCTAATTACTAATAGATAACAATTTGTTAGCTAAATAAAATTTGTTTTTCTAAGAAGCTTTTCTTTTTTTTCTTTTTTAAAGAAAGGGAATGTTGGTTTCACATTTGTTGTTGCTTTAGCGAATGCAACTATGTATTTAATTTTCAAAACCAAAGAGTAGAATGACACCTTTTGTTCTAACAAAATATTAATGATAATTTCATGTTCAATTTTACATAGGAGAATGTAAATTTTATTAATGGCAGTTTCTTCATCTTAAATCTTAACAAGGTAGGGCCTATGGAGTTGTTTTTTTTTTTTTTTTTTTTTTAAATTTTTTTTTATTTGGGTTTTACATGGGTTAAGTATAATTAGTGGTTGTTTTATTACGGCCCGTGCCCGTACTAGTACTGCGTACTATTTGCTGGCTGGCAATAGTCTATTGTCAATTGTCTATTGAATAGACATGGTGCATGGGCATGATTAAGAAGGCACTCTTAGAAGTGCATTTTATTTAAGGCTTTATTTGTAATTAAGATTCGTTTTATTATTTTAGAAACTTTAAGCCTTTTTTTTTTTTTTGTTGTAGTTTTACTATTATTTTCTAATTATTTTAGAGTTTTTAGACATTCAAATTCATCATTTACAAATTTATTTATTTGTTAGCATACACTCCTACACAGACAGTTCTAGTTCTGTTAATATTAACTGTACTACTCACTCAGTAATGAGTAATTAGTGATAATTTTTAACAAGTAGAGTAGTCCTGAGCCTGAGTAGTCAGTGAGTGACTGTAGACCAAGGGCCAGCCCTACCTTTACTGGCAACCTAAACTTGGTGCCCCTTTTAAGTATAATTATAATCATAAAAATTTGTACTAGAAAAAAAAATGGGGGCTTAGGTAATTAGTTTATTACCTAGGTTGTTTTTTAAACAATAAAATTGTTTTCTTAACCTGTATTTAGATAGTATGAACAATTAGCCTACCGTGGACAGTATGAACAATTAGCTTACCATGAGTAATATAAACAATTAGCCTACCGATGAAATTTTAGTAGCATTTAAATCAGCTAATATTTTTATTGCACTTTCTATTTTTCTTCCATGACGCCCACATGCAATCATTTTTCCTATTTTGGAAGATCATTGATGGTGTCCTAAGCAAATGGTGCCTCGGGCAACTGCCCACGTTTGGCGGTACCTTGAGCCGGCCCTGAGTAGACTGCAGACCTTACTAGTCAGGCTAGCGGCTAGTTGTAGTCCTCATTCTGATAGGCGACCAAGTGTAGCTGAGTGAATTAGTAGGCCTAGCAGGAGGTCATCCATAAATCATGTCATGTCATTCATAAATGGCATCATGCATAATCTAGGGGGGAGGGGATCACAAATTTGAGATAATGATGATGTGGTGGAATGAGGCACATGCCTAGGGCCCCTGCACCTTTTACTCAACTTTCAGTTGCTCTGTGACAAAGTAAAAAAATTTTGTTGAAGATTGAGGAGTTTATTTGATCTTGAAATACTTTATTGACGTATTTTGTAGGGGTGTAAGTTATAAAATTTGCCTTGGGTTAAGATTATTTGGAGAAAAGAAGAAGTTCAAAAAGTTAGGGAAACTGCATTATCACAGATGACTGTTGTTACGGATTTATGTTTAAATTGCATTAAAGCTGTCTAAATTTTAGTTCAGGCCTAGAGTATAATAAGTAGAAGTGTACGATGCTTATTTATATTGAATGGCGATGGCTAGCTAAATGATCCTTGAGAGCTGCAATATAAAAAAATATAAAATGAGTAAAACAAAGTAGGGTTAAACCTGAAAAATGGAACACAACAAAACAACGAACGTGTCAGCAGGAAGCCTTCATCAGCAAACAAAACAACAGAAAAAAACAGTATAAAAATAAAAAATAACACTTAGCTTAGAGGTAGTATCTGTGGGCAGCAAATGAATTGTCAAAAAAATTAAAAAAATCAGAATTTCTCAATGGCAAAGACACATGCACATTTGGAAGAAATATAGACAGACAATTGTCATGGTCAATGTCACATGAAGGACAAACATTAAAATATTTATGTTTATTAAACCTCTATAAAGTAGTATTTGTAATTCTGTAAAAGAATTGATATTGTTGTTCTATATTTTATTGCTTACATTCAGACATGTTTCGTCAGCTCCAAAGTCATGTTATGTCTCTTACATTATTTTGTTGATTTCCTCTGAAATCTGCTTTAATTTAAGTAAATTTTTTAAAACTATAAACAATGTTTACTTTTCAAATGAAAACCTTTAAAAATTACTGAGAAAACACATAAAATTATGTTTAAAAAATTATATTGTTGTAAAACAACTTAATCTGCAGAATTATGGTATGTAATAAAATAGAACTGTACTAATACAGCTGAGAGTAAATCAAAGCAAAATAAGTTTACAGATACTCCATTTTTATAATGTCTGAAGATCATAAAAATGTAATAATAATAGCTCAAGCACTATTTGCATATACTGCATTCATATAATTACATGAGGCCTTTAATCAACATGCAGGCATGATAGATAATTATTGTTAATTTATGTTAAAACTTAATTTAGTATTTGCTGCTTATAAATGAATTTAGTATTAGTTTCCCTTTAATTACAACATATAAAATATATTTTAAAAGTGTGATTGATAATGCTAAAACTTAATGCTAAAATGAAATACATAAACATTTTCTTTTCCTGATAATTTTCAACCAGTAGTCAACTGATTTTGAGAAGGAATAAAATTATTGTATTAAATCTTGAATTAATATTGATATACATTTGTTTATTCTAACTAGAACCGTCGGCATATGGAAAAGTTCACTAGCATTGGGCAGCATCATGAAATTTCGCCAGCGCATGGCTTGGCTCATGCTAATGTTATTCTTAGGTGCCTCATTTGCATTTGCGTACTATGTGTTTGAGATAAATGATCAGTTCAACAACTTGGCAATAGAACATGTACAAACAGAACATGGTGGGGACATTAAGGCAGGAACCATATTAGAACATGCCACCCATTTACCACTTGCTGTTTGGTTACTAATATTTCTTCTTCCCTACCTACAAGTAAGTCTTCACAATGATAGTTAATATTATTTTGAGTTCTAAAAAAAAAAAACGGTTTCACCACCCAAAAAGATATAATTTGATACTTAATAGACTTAAACTTTCAAAGGATGTATCACAATAATTTAAAGAAGTTATCAAAATATTTAGTATTTTAACAAATGTTAATCTCCCTAAGTCAAATTATAAATTCAAGGAGGCCGAAAAATTGTTGACCTAGAGTTTCCTGCAACTTTTATTTGCATAGGTGAAAGGGCAATACTTTCAAATATCTAAATCTCAAGAACATCATAAAATTAAAGTTTTAAATACTGTAGGAAAAGGAATGTTTAATAACTAACTTTTTCTTCATGAATTTCAGGTATTTGGCTTATTACTTGCCTGTACTCGACCAGAACCACGATTAAGTTTGGCATACATTTGGCCCGGAACATTATTTTTTAAATCTCGGACCCTTTTGAGACGATATCACCCACATGACAGCAAGTCTATAAATTCTAGTGTTGTGTTCAATGGACATGTGGTTGTGTTTGATGCATGATTCTTCAGTACTCAAGGAAGTGGATGTGTGTGATTCTGGATATTTAAACCGATTGGACAAGTGTGACAGATCATTTAGGGATGTGTGTGATTCTGGATATTTCTTTAAACTGATTGGACAAGTGTAACAGATCATGTAGGATGTGTGTGTTAGATTGATGAATTTCAGTTGTGTTTTAACTTCAAAAATTTCAATCTGCAGTTATTCTTTACATTTATCTACATATTATCTCATAATTTTAGGGGCAGGATTGGGGGGAATGTTAAAATATTTAGATTAAAAGTGGTATCTGGGCAGGACAGGCTAAAGAAAACGGACATAACCCCAAAAAATTTCATTTCATCACTAAAGACACCACTAATTAACCTTTTTTTTTTTTTTTTTTTTTTTTTTTTTTTTTTTTTTTTTTTTTTTTATAAAAGAATATAATAAATTAATTAATATTTTTTCTGACTTGAATTCAGGCTTGTGATTTCAGAAAGAAGTTGTTGTAAATGATGTCGAAAATACAAATAATAAAATATACTTAAGTCTCTGTAAATGTCCTTTTTATAAAACTTTTGTACATTAAATCCATAGTCTTAGACCTGTCTACTTAATGTATTTACAATTTGTTTGCAGCCTTTGAAAAAATAATAAGAGAAAAGGTTTTGAGTGTAAAGAAAAAAAATATGTGTGGCGGAGTTTTTATGGTAAAATGGAGGAAGGTTCTATTATTTGATATGTGGATATTGCCAGTAGATTATTTAAGATATAAGAAAAATGGAATAAAAAAGTTAGCTTCATGGTAATGAGAGTTATATTCATAACTGGCTTTCAACAGTCTACAGCAGCGCTTTCAACTGGTTTATAACTAGAAAAAAGGATATTGCTAAAACACAATTCATGTTTTACCTGAAGTTTGGACATATTTCTCACAAAGTACTGGGTCCGTGTCTTTGGACACATAATATGATCCATATAATCACATTTAATATAATAATTTGCATTGGAAACGGCTCCAACATTATCACAAAATTTCTTAATACTATTATTATACTAAAACAAATTTTGAAAACTAATGATCTAGATTAATGTTATGTTCTGATCTAGACTAATATTATGTTCTGATCTAGACTAATGTTATGTTCAAGACTTTTTACTCATATATGATGAGTGTATATTAATCTTTTATCTAAAAGTCTTTAAATGCTACTTTTAGGACAAATCTATTCATAAATAAGGGATCACTAGTTAGGGGATGGATAGTGCTGTCTTTTTTTATCATATACATAAAGAAATTTAAGTGTTGCCATTGCAAATAACTAGAGAAAATGAATGTAACATTTATAACTAGTCGGCTGTTCTTCAAATTTATTTCTGATTTGTACTTTGTACTTGAGTTGAAATTGAGCTGTAAGTGAGATTGACTGACAGAAAGTCTGTCCTTAGACTTGAAATTGGGCTGTATGTGAAATAGACTGACAGAGAGTCTGTTCTTTGACTTGAAATTGGGCTATACATGAGACAGACTGATGGAGATAGATAGGGTATATCCTCAAGAATGATGAATTTATGAATGATTACTTTGGTGTGAGCTTTCAATATGAACAAGAGCACGAGAGATGTGTTAACTGATTAAGAGAAGTATTTGATATTTTACACATGTAAGTAGAAGACCAAACACATTTTCATTGATCTTATTTGCTAGGGAAGTTTTATTGCATAAAATAGCAAAATGAAGTTTGTTGCTAAACATTTTCAATCTATTTTTAAACATTTATAGATTTTTATAATGTTACAAACTATTTTGACATTAAAATAAATTCTAGCAGCTGACAAAGAGGGAAATAAGTTTTTTTGGAACATGCATGACAGTATACTACACATATAATTATTTTTTTCATATTTTACTTCTGTTTTTTCTGATATAATTGTCAACATGATTTCTCAGTTGATTTATCTTTAAATCCAAAGTGTCTATTGAGAGTGAAAAGGATCTATGATATTATATTTAAGAACCAACACAGTATCTTTTTCACTCCTTGTGGACAATGGTTTTTTGTTTTTTTCAACTAATCATGAGAAACAAAGTTGATTTGAAAATGATTTCTCTGCCAATATTAGAAATGTTTAGTTCCTGTCATTTCATGTATCTATGTACTATACTTTACTTATCTGTTGTTGATATAAACTTTTGATGATTTTAACAGACCGATTTGTAATTGCAAGTGACTAGTTTTTATGTGATTTTTATATGAAGAACTTATAAATTAGGTAACAGAATAAGTATAAGAAAGAAAATACATTTGGTTTGTTGAATTTTTCATCATGGTGAATTCTCTTTACACCAATTGGAAGATTTAAACAAGAGAGAAAATTGTATGGGTAGCAATGAAGTAATGTTAGTTATATAAATAACTCAAGGGAATTTGATCTCACTAAAATGTTGGGCCCAAAAATCTGGTGACAGTCTGGATTGTTTCACCAAAAAATTGTGTACTCGGATGACATTCATTTCATTGTGCCGTTCCTTTAAATATTTTAAGGACTTTAAAATAGTCATGTTGTCCTCCCCCCCCCCCCCCCAAAAATATGTTTCATTGTGGTGGTTGTAGTTTCAGGGGAAAAACCGTACTCAGGAATCAGTCCTGAATATTAAATAGTTTAAGGACTTTAAAATAGTTATGTTGTCCTCCCCCCCCCCCCCCCCAAAAATATGTTTCATTGTGGTGGTTGTAGTTTCAGGGGAAAAACCGTACTCAGGAATCAGTCCTGAATCCTTTAATGCTCCATTAATTAACCATCCTCAGCCATCTTTTTTGTAGTTTCAGGGGATGAACCTACTCGGGAATCTATCCTGAATCATTCACTCCTCACTTAACCATTAACCATCCTCTGCCAACTTTGCTTCACTTTAACTGTTCATTCTTTTCTGTTATTTCCTGTTCCGGGTTTTTTTATTTGAGTCCTTTGCTCATTACAATCTTCTGAATGGCAGTAAGACACAGAACTCAGCTTTCCTCTATGTAAATAAACAGAACTTATCATTTATGTTTAACCTGGAGGCAGTTATGTTTCAAATACAACTTTGTTTTTTGGATATTGACATTATACAATGTAATCTTTTTTGAAGTAATGTCTTAAAACGTTTTAATGCTTTCATCTGTTTGAAATGCATAAAAAATAATGTTTAAAAATAATCATTGTTGGCCAAAAGTTGTTTATTTCTCAAATATTAACTTAGCTAGAATGCAAGAAATAAGGCGGTCATCGCAGAGCTCTCGAAACTTTGTGTATTCAGTCTCTCATTTATGTTATTTTTCAACAAAAAAAATTGAAGAAATAATATAAAACAATATGTCATCTTTCTTGTACTACAATTGCAAATCTGTACGAATTTACCAGCGTGCTTCCTCTGAAGTCACACATCTGAATGAGAACTAATAAGTCCCTGATTTTGCTAAGAGAACTCACTGAATGGCTGTTTGAAATAATTTATTATAAATGTCTTGTGTTCAAATTGTTTTATTTTTGTGCTGAAAATGTATAATGCAATCAAAAAACATTTCCATTTATTTGGATCAATAAAAGAATCTTATCTTATCTTAAATGAATTAAAACTAGTCCAACTACAACACCGCATATCTCACTAACCGTAATAGATTGAAAGAAAAAATTGTATAAACAAATGAAATCACATATTTTTTTACTTTTAAAAAATACCACTAAGGTAATGGCACTGAACATTGTAAAACCTCACTATAACGTGACTCTGCTTTTAGTGCCCTCCGATTTTAAGGACATTAATTTTCTAATATCAAGGTTCCACTGTACTTTTGAAAGAATTTATCTCTAGAAACATAATTATTATGTTACAAGCCTAGAACCCTTATTCTCCTATTTTCTAGGTAATATTTTCATATAATTCAGCATTATATGTTGTCTCACAATGTTGACTCAAATGTCACTGTAAAGCTTTCAATAGGAAGAGGGAGTTGGGATGTGTGAGGAGATTAAGACTTGATTAATAATAAGGTAATAATTTATTAGTTTTCCAAAATGGCGTTTCCAATTAGTCCCATTAAGGGATGCAAGTGTAGCTGAAATAATGTGATGGATATCTTGTTGTCCTGTGACTTCTGAGTAAAAGGATTAATGAGACATAAACAATTTGAGTAAATAAAACAGTATAAGTAAGCTTTAATTATATGGCAAAATACATTCTTCAGTACGGTACAACCAGTTGGGCTAATGCATTCTTCAGTATAACCAGTTGGGTTAATGCATTCTTCAGTACAACCAGTTGGTCTAATGCATTCTTCAGTATAACCAGTTGGGTTAATGCATTCTTCAGTACAACCAGTTGGGTTAATGCATTCTTCAGTACAACCAGTTGGGTTAATGCATTCTTCAGTATAACCAGTTGGGTTAAGGCATTCTTCAGTACAACCAGTTGGTCTAATGCATTTTTCAGTACAACCAGTTGGGCTAATGCATTCAGTCTAATGCATTCTTCAGTACAACCAGTTGGGCTAATGCATTCTTCAGTACAACCAGTTGGGTTAATGCATTCTTCAGTATAACCAGTTGGGTTAATGCATTCTTCAGTACAACCAGTTGGTCTAATGTATTCTTCAGTATAATCAGTTGGGTTAATGCATTCTTCTGTATAACCAGTTGGGTTAATGCATTCTTCAGTACAACCAGTTGGGTTAATGCATTCTTCAGTACAACCAGTTGGGTTAATGCAATCTTCAGTATAACCAGTTGGGTTAAGGTATTCTTCAGTACAACCAGTTGGGTTAATGCATTCTTCAGTTTAACCAGTTGGGTTAATGCATTCTTCAGTATAACCAGTTGGGTTAATGCATTCTTCAGTATAACCAGTTGGGTTAATGCATTCTTCAGTACAATCAGTTGGGTTAATGCATTCTTCAGTACAACCAGTTGGTCTAATGTATTCTTCAGTATAATCAGTTGGGTTAATGCATTCTTCAGTATAACCAGTTGGGTTAATGCATTCTTCAGTACAACCAGTTGGGTTAATGCATTCTTCAGTACAACCAGTTGGGTTAACGGATTCTTCAGTATAACCAGTTGGGTTAAGGCATTCTTCAGTACAACCAGTTGGTCTAATGCATTCTTCAGTACAACAAGTTGGGCTAATGCGTGCTACAGTACATCCAGTTGGTCTAATGCATTCTTCATTAAAACCAGTTGGGCTAATGCATTCTTCAGTACAACCAGTTGGTAGAATGCATTCTTCAGTACAACCAGTTGGTCTAATGCATTCTTCAGTATAACCAGTTGGGTTAATGCATTCTTCAGTATAACCAGTTGGGTTAATGCATTCTTCAGTACAACCAGTTGGGTTAATGCATTCTTCAGTATAACCAGTTGGGTTAAGGCATTCTTCAGTACAACCAGTTGGGTTAATGCATTCTTCAGTATAACCAGTTGGGTTAATGCAATCTTCAGTATAACCAGTTGGGTTAATGCATTCTTCAGTACAATCAGTTGGGTTAATGCATTCTTCAGTACAACCAGTTGGTCTAATGCATTCTTCAGTATAACCAGTTGGGTTAATGCATTCTTCAGTATAACCAGTTGGGTTAATGCATTCTTCAGTACAACCAGTTGGGTTAATGCATTCTTCAGTATAACCAGTTGGGTTAAGGCATTCTTCAGTACAACCAGTTGGGTTAATGCATTCTTCAGTATAACCAGTTGGGTTAATGCAATCTTCAGTATAACCAGTTGGGTTAATGCATTCTTCAGTACAATCAGTTGGGTTAATGCATTCTTCAGTACAACCAGTTGGTCTAATGCATTCTTCAGTATAACCAGTTGGGTTAATGCATTCTTCAGTATAACCAGTTGGGTTAATGCATTCTTCAGTACAACCAGTTGGGTTAATGCATTCTTCAGTACAACCAGTTGGGTTAATGCATTCTTCAGTATAACCAGTTGGGTTAAGGCATTCTTCAGTACAACCAGTTGGTCTAATGCATTCTTCAGTACAACCAGTTGGGCTAATGCATGCTACAGTACATCCAGTTGGTCTAATGCATTCTTCATTACAACCAGTTGGGCTAATGCATGCTACAGTACATCCAGTTGGTCTAATGCATTCTTCATTACAACCAGTTGGGCTAATGCATTCTTCAGTACAACCAGTTGGTCGAATTTATTCTTCAGTACAACCAGTTGGTCTAATGCATTCTTCAGTACAACATAATTAAGACATAACATTCACTTTAATTAAACTTGACATAGTAAATTTAAATCCTACCTCTCTATTACTAGTAAATAAATTTAAAGCAAGGAAAAGAAAAAGCCTAATGTTTTATTTACATACGCTTTTTGTGTCGCATTATCATTAATGTACTCTAAAGATTTATGGCATTACAGTTAGTTGTATAATTAGTTGAGTAAACGGAGCACCATCAGGAAATGGTTTACATCATTGAAAGATTTATTGCTGCAGCTGACAGCCCTGCCCATACCAATATAAGTTGAACTTTGACTCATAAATGTTTAAATTGAATTTGTGTTTACTGTTTTGAGCTGTATATTGGCACTGGTTTCTGTTGTGAGCTGAGAATGTAGCTTTGATTTGAGCTGTATATTGGCACTGATTTCTGTTGTGAGCTGAGAATGTAGCATTGATGTTCCGGTGAGGTTTGCTGCTTGATATAATCTTTGATCTAATGTGTTACTCTGTCTGCATTTCCATAAGTGTTCTTTATATTGTAGGTTAGTTGTCCTTATTGTAGGTTAGTTGTTACACTCTTTTACAGTTCATTTAAGAGTAACCAATGTTCATGAATGTTAATTCTATTTTTTTTAAATCTATTTAATTATTGGCCAGTGGGTTAGACATATAAAATCCTTGCATGAAGGTCCGTTCTAGTAAGAGCACAGCTTTGTATAGGTTACACATGGCTCGACTTAAGGTGGTATTTGAAAATGATTTTTTAAAATATCACTTAAAAATCCATTTTTTACTGAAGCATTTAATTATTTCAATGTACTTCAAATAGTAATCTATATTTCCTCATACTGTAGATTTGTAATTTTTGTATACCTATTACCTTCTTTCTAGGGGAGACTATTTTAGTAGTATATTTGCTTTAACTGTTTTAAACTTATTTTATGCTATCTTGTTATTTATCATTTATTTCTCTAGGCAATACCATAAATTTTAATAAAATTGCATTTCTTTATTTGGTTGATGAAAATTAAAATAATTGTGTTACGTAATGTATATTTCAGAGAACAACTGTTCTGTTACTATCAAATACAGTTTACCTCACATTATTTTTACATTTTAATTTAAGATACAGAAGAAAGATTTGGACAGTTGTCTCTGTTATAGCTAATTCAGTTATTAGAATATTTTATTTGGATGCACCCCTCCCCCCATGCCATTCCCACTCTTACCAACCACTTTAAAATACATTTTAATCTCTCTTTTCCCCCCCCCCCAACTACCAGCATTAATTAAGTCTTTTGTGGATGCTTCATTTGTAATGCTCAATGTTTCCCAGAAAGTTTTCTCTGTTATAGCTAATTCAGTTATTAGAATATTTTATTTGGATGCACCCCTCCCCCCATGCCATTCCCACTCTTACCAACCACTTTAAAATACATTTTAATCTCTCTTTTCCCCCCCCCCAACTACCAGCATTAATTAAGTCTTTTGTGGATGCTTCATTTGTAATGCTCAATGTTTCCCAGACTTTTCTTGCCTAGAGCCAAACAATGACATTATTATATGACCTGAGACTTGATATTAATAAATATTAATTTAAAAATAGCATTTCAAATCAAATGTTCTTTTTGAGTTGGAATTGAAATCCACAAAGTTTTACTATATTTAGAATACCATGAAATCATATATGGCTCAGGTGTATTACATGAAGAATTATATGTTGTGTGGGATGGGTTTAGGGAACCACTGACCTTATTGTACTTGGTTTAGAATGATTTAATGCTTTATTGGTTGAGGTTTAGGGAACCACTGACCTTGTTGTACTTGGTTTAGAATGATATATGTTGTATTGGTTGAGGTTTAAGTAACCATTGACCTTATTGTACAAGGTTTAGAGTGATTTATTTGTAATATCTCTTGATTTACTGATTTTGTTTGACCTTCTCTGCCCTTATTTGGTCAATGTTCATGTGACAGTTCTTGAAGTGTTTGTCTTGTGAGATTATACTGTTGTCCAAATTGAGGCCTTCTCATTGGTTGAAATGTCTATGAAAATAAACTATGAATCACAGAAACAAGGGCTTTTGTTTTATTTTGATTTCTACCAATTATGAAACTATGCTTTTTTCAGCATGTGTTCGGACCAGTGGTCAGTCCTGGTTAGGCCCAGTGGTCAGTCCTGTGGCAACCACTATCAGCTGCACTTTTGTAAATGTTTAGTTACAACATTATATAATTGATGTGTGTGTGTAAGTGGGTGCAATTTGGAGATTTGGCCCGCTGTACTTCGCTGGTAAAGTCAACATCTCCACTAGTTAGACCTACATCCCACATGACACCACCATCTCTGTTGTTGTACTACATCTAGTGGCAAATTATGCCAAGTTAACATTGACAATTTCAATGAACACTTTTTGTTAGCTTAATAAACATATAAATTATGTATAAGATGGACAAATATCCAACATTTGTATGCCCCAATATACAACATTTATTGAGTTTCTATATACAACACCTATCTATACATATACAACATTTATTGTTATTTTAATATCCCGATTTACAAAATTCAGTTATGATCTAATTACAAAACATTTATTGATAGCACTACGTTACATAACATATATTGCTTTTTAATAGACAAGACTTAAATTTCTGTAATCCTGAGACAATGACTGAAAATTTCCATCTTGGCATATTGAAAACAAAAAATTAACCCAAAACCTTTGAGAAGAGAATGTGTTTCACCCACAATTTTTATTTATATTTATTATTTACCATGAATTTTATTTTAAACCTGGTGAGAAGTTCCGTATAATGTTTTTGTATCAAAAGATTATGACAGAATGATGACAAGGTGTTCATGTGTATTTAAACGATAACATGCTATTACGTGCATGGCATCTTACAAAATTGGAGCCAGATATCAATCATTAAAAAAAAAAGTTGGGTTGCAAAAAGGCCACGATCCAGGGGACGTAGATTATAACAATAGAAACAGGCACTATATCAATATAAGTAACAAATATATCTTTTCTGTACGAAAAAGATTATTTTTTTCCTTATAATATTACTTGTTAGAGACTAAGAGAGACTAGTCTAAGCTTACGGTAAAAACTTGCAGAACTCCAGCATTGACATCAAATCACATGATTAAAAACTACTTCTGGGAATGCAAACCCTAAAACATGGGGGCAGAGTACCGCAGGTAAGCATGGGATGGCGTTACTGTAATTAAAAAAAAAAAAAAAAAAAGATTAACTTCGCTGTTGTTCATGGCTGGCTGGCAAAAATATTCGGACGGCTAATTGACCCAATTGTTTTTCAAGGGGGAAGGTGAAGACATGAAATGCTGCTGATTGCACAAAATGAAATGTCCGATAACTGCGCTAAATAAGTTGTTGTTTTTTTTAATTGCAAGTGCGTAATATTTTCTTTTGTTTTTCTCATATTGTTGGGGACATAAATCTGCGATGTCAAAGTGAGTGGGTCATAAGAATATTAATACAGATAGAGTTCAGGGGCGTGAACAAATGTGCGGTTGCTAGCCTTTTTTTTTTGGGGGGGGGGGGGGCGATGGGAGGCACTAAATGAGATTCTTATTTGAGTTACTTGAGCGTATGTTTCGTCGAATTCTCAGCCCCAACCCCCATTTCCTCGATTTAATATTTTATAAAGGATTTTTACGAAAAACATAGGCATACATGTTTATTTGGGGAGGATGAATCTTTGGTGTGTTTCCTCACTTATTTCCTGGGACTCGACCCCTGCAAAAAAACAAGTTCATGAGTTTTGTTATTATTTATTTAAACTAATACTAATGGCATCACCACACACAGCACTTGATAAGCCATCCGATCGTAAATGCCACAACAGAAATAAGTACAAGGACTTTAACAGCATCATTATTCCTCTTGGTTCTGTCAGCCTTTAACCGTTCTTGTCGTCTGCTCTCCCACTGGGCTAACATATCCAGACAGTCTGCATGCATCAATGTCAACATCTTCCATCTTTCTTGCAGACCTTCCAGTGCGCTGGAGATAAAGCGGTCGGCCATGACCTTAGTCGCGATCTTTTCATATTCTGCTGTGTCGTGGCCAAACTTTCGCTTAGATTTCTCTTCCTTTGTCAGTTTACGCTGCCAATGATGAAAAGTAACATTTGAGTTGAACAAAAACTCACTATATTTTAATACAAATATATAAGAAAATATCATATTCTTTATTGATCCATATAACGGGATTTTTCAAAACATTGTACATAATCATTTTCAGCACATAAATTCATAAATAAATACATATTTTAAGTAAGAGTAAGAAAACATTTTACAATTATACAAATTAAAACATAAGACATCTTAAGTGTTTCTCTAGTAAAGAAATCAGCAATCAATTAACCCCCTTAGTGACAACACTGACTTATTTAGTGATCATTTAGATTTGGTATCTGCTTGGAGACCACGCCACGCAGCTAAATTCGTACAGCCTGGGGAACAACAGAATGTGTGTATCATTTTCGAGAAAGAATTCGCCCTGATCAAGCTGAGCTTAGGTACCGTATCTGTGATGAAGGGGGTGAGTGTATCATACCAATTATTTTTAGTTTTACAACAGCATTTTTCTTAAATCGTGAAGGATGTTTAGTTTGTGTTATGTATTAATTATTATCTAGTGCGGATTGGGACTTGTGACCATAAACTATAGAAACTTTAAAGGCCCCTATTTGAACAATTACATCAGAAAATATTTCTTATTTTTAACTTTGAAACGTAAAGACCTACTATTACTAGTATTCCTGCGAATCAATTTAATAGACAGAATATAAAATGAAAAATGCCATCAACTTTCAAGCTAATGGATTGATTTGAAAATTTATCTTTTGTTGACATTGATCGATAAATTTCAAAATCATAAATTAGGATATGGTAGTAGGCCACCAATCGGAAACTATAGTTATAGCGTTAAAAATGTAAAACAATAGTCCGTGTCCCCTGCCGAGGGTGAAGGTTTAAGTTAGCCTGGTTACTTCGTTGTTTATGTGTGGCTAACAGCAGTCAATGTGTCATGAGCCCACCATTGGGAGAAAGCTGTAGCAACAGAGTATTGTAACTTGAAAAATGAGACAAGCCCCACGCTTGAGACATGTTCATATTCAAACGGTTATTTGGTTACATATTGTATTCAAATTAGCTTACTTTCATCAGGGAAATTATTTCAACTGGAATGACACACAGGTAAAGTCATGGTGTGTCAGCACAGGTGCAGTCATTATGACAGTCACACATCAATTTATTGTTTGATGTCACCTTGTCTGACCTAGTTACCCATCGCATGGCTCAGTGGAGATCTATACAATATGGTCTTTCCTTGCCATACTGACCATGTAGTGTATATATTAGGTTTAGGCAGATTTTCGGAAGACCCATCTGTTCATGTTGTAATATTACCAGTGTCTTATAAGCAAGCTAGACTGTCCTCAATAGAAATGCAGGGGTGTAGCTAGGGTTGGTGCCGCCTGGGGTGGGTCGAGTTTTTGATCGCCACTTTGACGGGGGAAAAAAAACAACTACTCAAACTGCCAAAAATGACTCCCTTCCGTATAAGGACAAAAGTGCCACAAGGTGCTGACCGCCCCCCCCTCCGCAACCCCCTTTCCTACGCCACTGTGTAAATGTAACGTGAGTTTTTAAGATTTAAAGGTGTCATTGGTGCAAGGGGTGTTTGTAATGACCCTATAATAATGATATGGATGAGACTCTTAATAATCAGTGACATTTGATTCCATGAATACACAATGTTTACGATTGGGATTATTAGTGAAACTATAACCACTTTATCCTATGACGTTACATTCTCTTGCCGTCCAGGAAAGCCTGAAATTTACACAGAGGCGTATCTCCTATTATATATTCTGCTTGTGGTGTTACTGCTTCCATTTCCGGATAGCGCGCAAAGTATTATTCCCAATAACTACGCTAAATATTTTTTTTTTAAATAACGCAACTGCGTTTGGTGTGTAATATTTTCTTTTCAGAAAATGAAATCGTCTCTTTTTAAATATGGTGTAATATAATTTCATATACCTGGGATCCAATATTTCTAGGTCTCTCTCCGTTGATGAAGAGATCAATATCAGGATTGCAAAAGCAGCAGCAACTATGGCTAAACTGAATAAGCAGGTGTGGAATAATCTCAATCTAACTGATAAAACAAAAATAAGTGTTTATCAGGCATGCGTGCTTAGCACGCTCCTATATGGTAGCGAAGTGTGGACCACATATACCAGACAGGAGCGGAAACTCAACAGCTTCCAATCAAATATGTCTGCGTCGCATTTTGCGCATTCGTTGGCAGGACAGTGTGCCTAACGTGGAGGTCTTGGAATGTGCACACATGTTTAGCATATTTTCCTTTCTTATCTAGAGACGCCTTCGCTGGTTAGGTCATGTACGGAGAATGGAGGAAGGACGTATCCCAAAGATTCTGCTGTATGGAGAGTTGGCAGAAGGGACAAGACATATTGGACGACCGCGCCTGAGATTTATTGACGTTTGCAAACGAAGCATGAGGGAAGCCAATATTGAAACAAACGAATGGGAGTTCATTGC